TAAATTTTTTTCTTTATTATTGAAAATGGTCCCACATACATGTTCCTCGATTGTAAGCGGATAAGATATTACTTCTAAATTCGTTTACTTTTAGAATTTTAGTAATGTCATTTAAATGTTATTTTGCTTACTGAGTATATGGAACTCACCCCTTTCTATGACCCCTCTTTCAGATGGACGATATTGAGAAGCCGCTTGTAGACTTACCCCTTGACATCTGTGAGGATCCCGTGGATTCATGAGCTGTTATGAGTGCATATCTTTTTTTTGCACTCTGATGAATTTAATTTTTGAAGAGACTTGTATTTATTTTTATTTTTCCTCAATATTGTAAGATTTGGAACTCAAACTTGTTTTGTAAGATATTTGTAATATTTTTATTGCACTCATATATATTTGTATCTGGCACATTTATGCTTTAATTAGTATTTGGAATGTCACAACAATAGTGACATCATTCTCCTCAATAAACAACATGGGAAGTTTGGAGTACTATGAGGATATGTACTCAATGTTGTTTTTGTAAACTTAAAATCTGAGAAAAAAAGTTTCTTTGGGGGTGAGAATGTAACATCCCACATTGTAATATATTGAATTTTCAATAAATGAAGCATTATGTATATTATGAGTTATGTTTTGGATAAATTAATTTTATTTTATTTTTGTTGGTGTTAAATTAAAATCTTGCATATATATATATATATATATATATATATTTTTTTTTTAAATCAAACAAAAATAAGGGCAGCCCGTGGAAATAAGGAAATTCCCCACCCACGAGGCTATCAACCTGTGGACATGGGAGGTTTCATTTGCGAAGCTTGCTAGCTTGGCAACCCACAGACTCGCGTGGCTTGTGTGTGTCAGCCGCACATCGCTTCACATGTCCGCACGAGTGAACACTGGGTGTTTTGCTCGCAACCTGCGAAACACAGTCTGCTTACCAGCGAAAAACTTTCCTGCAAATAGTTGGTCCGCTGGCGCATTTTTGGCTTAGGTTTTGGATTTGACGCCACTAACCCAGCCTTTAGTGCTGTTTTGGTTGCCTAGCAGAAGAAGCCCAGCTAGCTGGGCAGCTGTCAAGCTCCAACCTTCTTCCTTTGCTGGCTGCAGCCATTTATAGGCATCAACGACCCCAATGGAATGCATGTAATCCAACGATGGCCTTTTGATCTCTATATCCCTTTTAAACCTTCATGTTTCGATCACCTTCTTTCTCATTCTGTGCTAAGCAATTTCGAGTACAAATCGAGAGAAACAGAGGTTGCTAGTGAGGAAAGAGAAGTGTGCAGTGTTCAAAGAACAGACCTATATCGAGGGGGAGGTATGGTGCGTGTGTTGGAGAAATTCTCCTTACTATTCCAATTTAGGTGAGTTCCTTTCCATTATAACTTGTTTCCCTTTGATCCCTTAGCATCTAAGCATCTATTTTACAACTCTGCAAGTCCAAAAATTGTTGCAAGCTTAAAAACCCAAGCTTCTTTGCGGCTGCACCTGCCATCGTGAACTATGCAAGTAAGACCTCTATTTTCAGCTAAATACCATTTCCATTTTCACTTCTTTTCACAATCTTAGTGGTCAGCGGTTAGAACAAGTTGTTAGGAATATTAGAATTTAGAAAGCTAAATCACTCTTAAACTGAATCTAACTCAAATTGCTGCACGGGTTTTGCAACAGTTTCTTGGTGAGTTGTAGAACCGATTCTCAATCACAAACTCCTTTTTCCTTTGTGATTTTGCGTCCAAATTGTGATCTTCTTTTAGGTAAGATGGGGAATAATCTAGTTATAACATTTATGAATTGTGAGATAAACATTTGCATCATTAAGTTGTTTAAAAAATAAAAATAGATTGGTGTTTAAACCAGAATGGGTGAGTGAGTTCATGAACTACATTTTTTTATGATTAATCTATAAATTATGGATCTTTTCAGGTTTGCTGATGATGAATTGCTTGTTGGACATGATATAAAGAAATGAAAATCGAATTTGTAAAATGAAAATGGAAAGGAATCGGTGACAAAAGCCAAAATTGCTTCTGTCAAGCGTGCCAGGCACCAAAGTGCCGAAGTTGTCAGGCACACATGGCCTAGCCGTGGGACTTCGTGCAAGGAATGTCTTTTTGGGCACCTAAGATCGCTGGAAATATCCTAGGCACGATACTTTTGAGCAGGTTGCTACGCAGGTGAGTGAATGACTTTGTTGGGCATCCATAGATGCCAAAAGGGTCCGTGCGAGCATCGTGCATAAGGCGACATACGCACACAAGTGCGCAAGGGAGTGTGCAGGTGCCCCCAATGTGCATTAGCCCAGGTCCCACAGGCTATTTGCCCAGTGCAACAGGCCAATGAGCCATGCTGGCCAAACAGGCATAAGCATGTCGAAGGCTAATAGAAAAGGAAGGAAGAGCAAAAATGAAATAAAAGGAGAACAGAATGACAAAGAAAATTTTTCTTCTGAATTCTATTTTTGCAGCTTACTGGAATACATATACTTCTATTTTGTGTTGTACTGTAACTGACGAAAACAAAAATGGTTACATTACAATTAACTAATTCACAAATTAAGCTTAATATTTAATTAATTTTATTACTCCCCCTCAAGATGGAGAGTACAAATTTATTATACACATCTTGTTCAACAAATTGTCGAACTGCGTAGGATGAAGTATCTTTGTCATTAAATTTGTCAGTTAATTTTGAGTGGATATGTGCATCGTCTTCAAGGTACCTCTTGAATTTTCTCACGAACAAAATGACAGTCAAGTTCAATGTGTTTTGTTCTTTCATGATACATTGGATTTGAAGCAATGTGTAGAGCTGTCTGATTATCACACTAAAGTAATGCAGGATCTTGATGTTGCACCTTTAAATCTTGTAATAATTTCAGAATCCAAACTATTTTGCAAGTAGTGTTGGCCATGGAGCGATACTCGGCTTCAGCAGATGACCAAGAAACGACTTGTTGTTTCTTTGATTTTCATGAGATTAATGAAGACCCAAGAAAAACACAATAACCAGTGAGGGATCTTCTAGTGTCAGGACATGTGTCCCAATTAACATCAAAAAAAGCCTTAATCTGAATGGTAGATGATGAAGGGAAAAAGAGACCTTGTCTAGGTGTCCTCTTGATATACTGGAGAATGTGTAAAGCGACTTGAAGGTGACTGATCCTAGGAGCAGCCAAAAACTGACTCAATCTATTGACAGAGTAGCATATGTCAGGGCAAGAGATGGTTAAGTACAACAGTTTTTCAATCAGTCGCCGATAGCTGGTGATATCACTCAGAAGTTCGCCATCATCTTTAGACATCTTGATATTGGGATCCATGGGAATAGATGAAGGTTTACAACCAAGATATTCAGTTTCAGTTGACAGATCCAACGCATATTTTCTTTGGCATAAGGTGATTCCTGTGTCATTTCTTACAATTTCAAATCCAAAAAAATATCGGAGAGTCCCTAAATCTTTCATTTTGAATTTTTGTCTGAGTGTAGCTTTGAGCTCTTCGACAGTCTGATTGTCATTACTAGCAATAATAATGTCATCAACATACACCAACAATGCTAGGAAGGCTTTACGTTATTGTCTGACAAATAGGGAGTGGTCACATTGTGACTGATGGAAGCCTTCTTGAAGTAATACTTGTGAGAACTTATGAAACCACTGTCAGGAAGCCTGTCTCAACGTATAGATTGACTTGTGTAGGCGGCAAACAGGTTGATGTGGAAGAGTCTCCCCCTCTCAAGGAGAATAGGCTGGAGGAATAGTCATATAAACTTTTTCGTGAAGGTCACCATGAAGGAAAGCATTGGTGACGTCCAACTGAGTCAGGCGTCAACCATGGATAGCAGCTAGTGAAAGCAAAATCTTGACAGTGACCAATTTGGCAACAGGAGAGAAGGTGTCAAGGTAATCTATGCCAAATTGTTGTGTGTAGCCCCTTAGAAACCAGACGGGCTTTGTGTCTTTCTACAGTCCCATTAGCTTGATATTTAACTTTGTAAACCCACTTGCAACCAACGGGTTTCTTCCTATAAGGGAGAAAAATAATAGACCAAGTATTATTGTTCTCTAAAGCACGTAGCTCCATGTTCATAGCATTCATCCAAACATCGGACTTATTAGCCTCATAAAAGTTAGTAGGCTCAGTGTGGGAGGAAATGGCACAAATAAAGTTTTGATATTGGGGTGTAAGTTTGGTATTAGTAAGGAACGAAGAAATGGGATAAAGTGCATGTGTATCTGTATGGTAGCAGTGATAGTCAGATAAATAAGAAGGTGGTCGTGTTATACGCAGTGGTCGAGATGATAGTGTTTGGGAAGACTCATGTTGTGAGTGGACAGGTGTATTAAGAGAACCTGTGGACTGTGTAGACGTATGAAGAGGAAGAGGTAAAACACGATCATGAAAAAATCATTGTGAATAGGATCAGGTGAGTGAGATGAAAGAAACGGAAAGATATGTTCACGACAAATGACGTTACGTGAGATGATAATTTTGTTGCTCTCGATGTCAAGAAGTTTATATCCTTTGTAACCCGAAGGGTAACCAAGGAAGACACAAGCCCTAGAACGAAGTGAAAATTTATGGCGATGACTATCGAGAGTGGAGCAGTAGCATAAAGAACCAAAGGTATGCAAGTGATCATAGGATGGTTTTTTTTGAGTTAATAGTTCAAATGGAGTGATCATAGGGGGAGACTTGTGTTCTGGAAAAAATTTTTCATGGGCCAAGGCTTGGTTGGCAGAGAAGAAACCGATTGAAGGACCTGGTTCTAGGAGTGGGCTGAGAGATAGCTGAGGGGTTGCGAGCTTGGGCTTGTAGTTGGACTTGCCCCTCATTAAAAATAGCTTAAGCATTGCGGGTCTGGTTTTGGACTTAGACATGTCCATCATTAAAATGTATTTTGGGCTTGGGCTTGAGACCTGGTGGGTAGCCATGCAGGCGGTAACACCTGTCCACAGTGTTACCCACAAGTCCACAGTGTGAACAGGTGGGTCATCTCCTTCCTTGAGTTAGGGCAACGGAAGATCCAGACCCCTGACCCGTTTCTGCGTGTGCGTCAAAGCCGATTGCACGGTGCCGCTCTTCCTGCACCACCAGCAAGAAGACCTTCAAAATGGACAGAGAGCATTCCATCATCAAAATTTGGGCTCTAACAGCAGCATATGAGGGATTTAATCCCATTAAGAAAGTCATGACAAACTCTTGTTCCTGATAATCATTCCACGCCTTCATGTTTCCGCAGTGACAGGTTGGAGCTGGTTGATAAGTTTTCAGATCGTCCCTGATTGTTTTCATTCGTGTATAGAATGCGTTGATGCTGAGTGACCCTTGAACAAGGTTGTTCATGCTCTGTTTCAGTTGGTAGATGCGCGGTGCATTGCTCTGCTGATAACGGAGCTGCAAATTGGTCCAGATAGATTGTGCACTTTCATGGTATAACAAGCTGTCAGCTATCTCCTTGGTTACAGCATTCAGCAACCAAGAAATCACCATACTATTACAACGCGACCAAGCTGCGGCATGGGAGTCGGTGTTGCTCGGTTGATCGTAGGATCCGTCTATTGATCCCAATTTATTTTTGACGGTCAATGCTATCTTGATTGCTCTCTCCCATGTGTTGTAGTTGTTGCCATTGAGAAGATTGGACACCAAAACTAAACTGGGGTGGTCGGCACCGTGAAGGAAGAACGGGTTTTGGGGGTCATCTGACTGATCTCTAGCCATTGGAGATCAAATGTTTTGGAGCTCAATCACTGAGCTAAAGATGTTGGTTAAAGATTCATTGATCTGATACCATAATAGAAAAGGAAGGAAGAGCAAAAATGAAATAAATGGAGAGCAGAATGATAAAGAAAATTTCTCTTCTGAATTCTGTTTTTGCAGCTTACTGGAATACATATACTGTTATTTTGTGTTGTACTGTAGCAGAAGAAAACAAAAACGGTTACATTACAATTAACTAATTTATTTTGAGTTTAGCACAAATTAAGCTTAATATCTAATTAATCTTAATAAAGGCATGCAAGGGAAAATGTTTCTCAGGCTATCTCAAGCAGTACAAGCAGGGGCAGAATGGTCCTTTTAGGAAAATTATAAATTAAATTAAAATATAAATTTTAAAAGGTAATAATTGGGAAAATTTTGAGAAAGATTATGATTGTTTGGAATTGTAAAGAAATGGTAAATAACTAATTCAGAATAAATCATTAACAATTAAAACAATAAAATTAAAAAAAATAAAACTTAATTAGTTTATTAAGTTAAGAAAAATAATAATTAACAAAAGTCCACTTAAAAATCTACATACATAATTAACAAGAATTACAAGCCTTAGTTAATTATAGGTCAAATTAATCTAAATTTAGAAATTAATTTAAAAAAAAAAACTAAAAGAGTCTAACATTTAAATAACAAAAAATTTAGTCGAAATCTAGTTCACTGTATTTCTCTAGAGGGATATTGATTTAATATGAAAACCATTAGGCTTTAGATGAAGTATTGGGTTCCAATTTTGGGATTGAGGTTAAGTGATTTAGGGACTCTAACCTAATTGCTATTCATGCTCTAGAGCTCAAGGGCATGAATGATCGCAAGCAAAATAAAAATTATGGGATGGCGCCCGAAGAGGATTGAGACATTATATGTATATTTTATATTATTGTATTGTAATTATTTATGCACTCACCCTTAGCTAGTTTGATGTTCTGTTTGCCCTCCTTGAAAATAAGTATAAACAGCTTCGTACGTAGGATTGTAATCTGTGTAACATAATTAAATTTTTAAACCGGTAATAAAACTTCAAACATGTGTTTAGTCTTATATGTATGTTATGCAAACCCATTGAATACGATATTGAGCGTCATATGATGATTGTTTAATTAATATTGCATACACCTTATGGTATAGAAATATTGTTTAGTAACATGAATAGTTGAACATATTATTGTTTTCTTTAAACTCTACATTAATGAACGTTTTTTAAACATAATTGTAGACTCTATTATTGCTTATCTTATTGAGTATTTTAGAACTTATCCCAAATCCAAACCTTTGAAATGCAGGTTTTGATGAATTTACTAATGAGCCATGATTAGATTCCTTCCAAGAGGAACAGAATTGGGAGCAGACCTTGTTTATTTTATTAAAATTTTAGAGGCTAGTATTTTGCATATAGGCTATCTCCAAATCCTATAAGTAAATGTAGATAGTCTCATTGCCTCATAATACAATTTTTTTGTATATTGTATGGGATATATGGATCCGTTGCAATGTACGTATTTAATTTATGTCTGATCTTTTGTTGGTGCCCATTCGACATCAGGGCATCACAATTCCTCATCTTACCTCAAAGAAGATCACAATTTGGACTCAAAAGCATGAAGGAAAAATGAGTTTGTGATTGAGAATCGGTTATGCAACTCACCAAGAAACTATTGCAGAACCTGTGAAACAATTTGAGTTAGATGCAGTTTAAGAGTGATTTAGCTTTCAAAAATGAATTTCTAATATTGCTAACAACCTGTTCTAACCACTACCTACCTAATATTGTGAAAAGAAGTGAAACGGAAACAGTATTTAGTAGAAAATAGAGGTCCTACTTACACAGTTCGCGATGGCAGGTGCAGCAACAAAAAAGCTTCGGGTTTTAAGCTTTTGCGGTTCCTGGGCTTGAGGAGCTATAAAATGGATGCTTAGATACTAAGGGATAGAAAGAAAATAAGTTATAAAGGAACTGGATTCACCTAAATAAGAAATAAGGAGAATTTCTCCAACTACAGAACTCTCTTCCCTCACCAGCACCCTCTGTTTCTCTTAATTTGCACTCAAAATTGCTCAACACAAAATAGGGAAGAAGATGATAGAAAGAGGAAGGTTTAAAAGGGATTTAGATATTAAAAGGCCATTGTTGGATTACATGCATTACATCAAGGCCGTTGTTGCCAAAAAATGCCCGATAGCTAACATAGGAAAAAGGTTGGATCTCAACAGCTGCCCAACTAGCTGGGCTTCTTCGGCCAAATGGCCAAAATGCCACCAAAAGCTGGGTTAGTGGTGTCAAATCAGAAACCAGAAGAGGAGTACTTTCGCAGATCAACTACTTGTGGGAAAGTTGTCCACAGGTAAGCGAACAGTGTCTCACGGCACGTAGGCAAAGCGCCCATTGTTCGCTCGTTCGGATGTGTCAAGCCATGTACAGTTGACACGCACCCGCTTTCACATATCTGAGGGCTTTCAAGCTTGCGGGCTTGGCAGGTGAAATCTATGCATGTTCGCAGGCTGGTATGCCCGCGAGCTAATAGCTTCGGAGGTGGGGAATTTCCTTACTCTTTTGGGTTGCCCTTATTTCTATATGATTGTAATATATATGCAAGATTTTAATTTAATACAAACAAAAAATAGATTAAAATTAATTTATCTAAGACATAACACATAATGTACAAAATGCTTCAATTATTGAAAACTCAATATTTTACAGCGTGGGATGTTACAAGATATATATACTCAAAAACAACATATAGAATAAGTTTTGTTTCCCCATCCACCATTTTCATGGCCTGCCAACCTTCCTTTGTACTAGGGTACTCCCTTATTCCCCATTCACCTTATTTTTCCTTAGCCTACCTACGTTCTTCTACACTACAGAACTACTCCTTTCTCCTACTGGCACTACAAAAATACTCCATTCTTCTATTGCCACTTGAGAACTACTCCCTTCTTCTGTTTTTTTCTTCCTTTGCTTGGGAGTTAGCTTGTCTGGGTAGATCTCATGAAGTATAAAGTTTGTGACTTCCACCACTAATTTGAATAATCTCCGTGATTCTCTATGAATAAAATACAATAATCCCACATCAAGTAAATATTTTCAAAGTTTTTAGGTAACCATGTATAAAGTTTCTTCATTAACGATTCAAC